GACGGAGCAGCATGGGGAGGGAGGTGAGCGGGGGCTACCGGGGGAGTGGGAACCAGAAACAGGGGAGGGGAAACTGGGAGACCTCGGTGGGGAAAGCGGTGGCAAAAGGAGACAGACTCGTCGAAAGTGGCGTTACGGGAGTGAAAGAAGCGGTGAGACGGCTTGTGGTAAAAGTGCCAGTCAGATGAGTCAGTTGAGTCGGATGAGTCAAGGGAGTAAGACACAGGGGACAATGCGGGCAGTGAGCTTGTCGGTGCTGTTGGTGCAACCCTATGGCTTGCACTCGGCTTGTCGTCCTTGTTTGTGTGTGTGCATGCATGGCATGGAATGAATTGTGAGTCTATGTCATTGCTATCCAGTCCTTGTGTGTGTGTTTGAATAGTGTATCACAATGTGGTTTGTGTCGGTCAAGACATTAGCGAGTTTTTACAACTCGCATGTCAAGTCGTCGTTTGTGTGTCGCATGTGTTTTTTCTATTTTGTCGAGTGTGGAGTGTCCATCGTGTCGCAGGTGTGTGCAGCAAGCCCCCATCAACTCAAGAAGAATTTATCTTGCAGAACCAAGACCAAGAGCTCAAGCTTTCAAGCCCAAGGGACGCGGATAAATATTAAATAGTGAAAATAGTAACGTTACTTCGTGTAGTGTTACATTTCACTTGGTGTAGCCCCTTGGATGGTTGGTTTCGAGACTCTTCATGGTTGGGGACTCTGTGGTGGTGTACCACCAACCTGGACCTCGGCTCTTGGGGTATGTAGAGGCTGGGAACCATCTCCCTCTCGAACTCTTCTTGCTAAGTTTGTACTTCCAAGACTATAGTGGCTGCTATACCTCCTGCCAGTCAAACCGCCATAGCGTCGTCAAATCTTCATGGATTTTCATGATTTAACTTGCTGCTGACAAACGACAGCAACGCGCTCCAGATCCAACTTACAGATCACAGTTTGACTCAGCGACCAGATCGTTATCACTATTTGAAGCCGTCTGACAGAAATCCAACTGTGCTCTCTATCTCTCATTATAGGCACATCTGAGCCTATTGTGACTATAACAAGTGGTATCAGAGCCCCTTGGAGCCGTCTCGACCATGCCTGGACCTGAGGAAGGGGGTGGCAGAGGTGCTGGAGGCAGAGAGGACGCCCAAGCACAAGGTCAACACCAAGATCCACCCGTTGCTCCGATGCAACCTAGCCTTGGACCCTCTAGGGATGAGCCTAGAGTGTTTGGCCTTGACAAGTTCAACGGTGACAACTTTGCTGAGTGGTCCTTCAAGATGGAGAACATCTTTGACCACTATGATCTGCTGGAGGTGATGGAAGGAACGGAGAAGCGCCCCGAGAACGACCCGGAGAAGAGCCCGTGGGTGCGGAAGAGCGCACAAGGCTACCTTCTACTTGGGCAAGCGTTGGGGAGCAGCCAAATCCGTCACATCAAGCCTTTTCAGCGTGAACCAGCAAAGGGACCAAAGGCATGGGCTACTCTCAAGGGTGTACACGCTCCTGCAACAGCGGCGGTGGCTGTGGTTTTGGAGCGGCAAATGGCGGCACTTCGAATTGACGAAGGCGAACCGGTGGAGGAAGGAGTGCAGAAATTCTTCGACTTGTTGACACGGCTCGAAGGAGCTGACCTGAACTACAGTGGCCTTCAAAAGAAGACCAAGCTGCTGGCCTTACTTCCGGACTCATGGTCCTCGCTCATCATCAACCTTAATCGAGATCTGCCCCGTCTCTCACTCGAAGATGTGAAGCGGGAAATCTTACAAGAAGATTTCCGCCGTCGCGAATTGGCGGGTCCCGATGGTGCCGGAGTTGCAAGCATGGGCCGTGGGCACGGCCGTGGAAGGGGCAGAGGGCGAGGAGGAAGATTTGGCAGCAGTAACTTCAATGGAGGCCGTGGTAATGGAGGATATGGCAGCAACAACAACAACAATGGCTACGGGCGTGGGCGCGGTCGATTTGATGGCGAATGCCACTTTTGCCACAAGACCGGCCATATGTGGAGAGATTGCTTCAGATTGCCTGATGGATGGACCCCTTCTCAAGGCCAAGAGGGCAGAGGAGCAAGGGGAGGAAGAGGCAGAGGTCGTGGAGGCCGTGGTGGTCGTGGAAGCGAAGCGGCAAGCATGAAAGGTGGAGACTACGACAAGGACTCGAGTGAAGATCGATACCTGGGCCAATTCTTCTTTGTCTCCACGCAAGCGGCAGCTGCAGCAGGAGGTGTGGAAGGCTTTGAGGAGCCAGCTACTGTGGGAAAGGTCACCCTTCACTCTCTGGACTTTTGGGTGATCGATAGCGGCGCCACCTACAGCATGACACCTCGTGCGGACTTGCTCACCGAACTCGAACCGTCGCCGGTCAAGCATGTTACATCGGCTTTGGGGCAGCGAGCAGAGGTGAAAGGCATGGGCAAGGCCATGTTCAAGGGTGCTGATGGGAAGATGGTGGGCCTCAAGAACGTGCTTTTGGTGCCCAACCTAGCAGCCAACCTGATTTCCGTTCGGCGTTTGCAAAAGGCCGGCATGGACACATCTTCCAAGGGTTCGAAAACTTATACCGCGAGGCTTGGTGAGCGGAAGCTTTGGGACCTTCATGAGGACAGGGACATCTACAATGAGATGTGGCAAATCCCAGTGGTCCCCATGCCTAAAGAGAGGCAAGTGGCAGCAAGCGTCAGCACCAAGCGTGAAGCGGTTGGTGGCGGTGATCATGGAAAGCAAAGTGACACCAAGAGTGACTCGAAGGAGTGCAACCTTGGAGAGACCAGCAAGGCGTGTGAACCCAAGGAGAATGGTGCAGCAGCCAAAGGTGGTGGAAATGAGGAGGAGAAGGCTAAGATCAACAAAGCAGCAGCGGCGAAGGAGAAAGGAGAGAGCTTGTGGGGCACAATTGCGAGTGCCGCTTTCTCCAACCCGACTTCCGCTACGGGAGAGTGTGATTGGCTGACCTTGCATCGGCGAATGGGGCATGTGGCATTGCCCATTTTGCAGCAGATTGTTAAGCAAGAGATGGTCAGTGGGATACGTGTCAAGGGGGAGCCCAATGAGGTGCTTGGCTGTCCAACATGCATGCAAGCCAAGTTCACCCGCTACCCGTTCCATAGCTCGGAGACAACGGCGAAGGCACCACTTGATGAGGTGGTGATGGATGTGGTGGGCCCCTTGAAGCTTGGAGCTGCTGGAGCAGAGTACTTCCTCACCATTGTGGACGTCTACACTCGCATGACTTGGGTGTATGTGCTGCCCAAGAAGAGTGACGTAGCTGAAACGGTGAAGACCGATTGGTTGCCGATGGTGGAGCGGCAACAAGACCGACTTGTGAAGGCGATTCGCACTGACCGTGGGGGAGAGTTCCTGAGCAAGGATTTCTCAACTTGGCTGAAGAATCAGGGCATAAGGCACTCTCTTACCATGCCCTACTCTCCTGCAATGAACGGCATCGCCGAGCGTGCGAATCGGACACTCACGGAGACGGCTCGGGGACTTCTCATTGAAGCCGGTCTTCCCAATTACTTTTGGCCGGATCCGGTGCGGCATGCTTGTGTGGCCAAGAACAGAGCCTTGACTCATGTGGGAGAAGACAGATGGGTGCCCTATGTGGATTGGATTGGAAGGAAGCCGTAGGTGGATTTGCTTCGGGTGTTCGGGTGCATGTGCATGGCATTTGTGCCCAAGAAACTTCGGCACAACAAACTTGATGCCAAGGCAACATGGGCCGTGCACCTGGGCATGGCTCAAAACAGCTAGGGATGGCTTCTTTGGGACCCATTTACCAAGAAGTTCTTGGTGAGCAGAGATTGCAAGTTCATGGAGAACTTACCGTACAATGAGTGGAAGGCGGAGAACCAAGCGAAGATTGGTGTGCGCCTTGGAGAGGTGAAGAGTACCGGCTTGGAGCATGTGGAGCTGCCCTTGGAGCTGAGTAGCAGCAGCACAATCACGAGGCAATCTCCCCAAATGAATGGGGATGAGGAGGAGGAGGAGGTGCAGCAAGGTAATGAGCGTGCACCGCCACTTCCGCCTCGTGCTACAAGTGCACGCCGGAACCGACCGGACTTACCGCAAAGCCATGAGGGCATTGAAGTCCTTGCAGCAGAGGAGGAAGGAAGGGGGAGAAGGAGGACTCAGCCCCCCAATAGGTTGAGCTATGAACGGCTTGGAGGACCAGCCAACTCAACCTTGACCGGTTCGGCTCTCATGCTAGGTGATGATGCGGAAGATGAAAGCGAGGAGTGCGCTTTTGCCTTCTTCTCTCCGGTGGAGATACTGGGGGAGCCTACAAATCCCAAGGAGGCTTGGGAGGGCCCCAATGGGAATGAGTGGAAGAAGGCCTCAGATGAAGAAATGGGGAGCATCATCGAGAACAACACGTTTGATTTGGTGAACCTACCTCCGGGGCGTAAGGCGATTTCTTCCAAGTGGCTCTTCAAGCGCAAGACCGACGCCGACGGCAACATTGAGCGCTACAAGAGCAGACTTGTAGCCAAGGGGTACCAGCAGCAGGAGAAGAAGGACTACAATGAAGTGTATGCTCCTGTGGTGAAGGGTACAACCCTTCGAACTCTCTTCGCCGCGGCGGCCATCAAAAGGATGGGTGGTGAAGCAAATGGACATTGTAACGGCCTTCCTCAACGGCGTTTTGGAGGAAGAGACCTACATGGAGCAGCCAGAGGGGTACAATGATGGGAGTGGCAGAGTGTGGAAGCTGAAGAAAGCACTCTATGGCCTCAAGCAAGCCCCTAGGCAATGGTACATCAAGTTGCGGGAAGTCTTGGAGGCGATCGGCTTCACTCCCTCAACGGCCGATCAATCGTTGTTCATGCTTGGCGAGGGGGAGCAGAGGAGCTTCATGGTGGTTTATGTGGATGACATCCTCATATTCTCACCCTCCTCTGACCTTGTGAAGGAGGTGATGCTGAAGCTTCAAGACAAGTTCAAGTGCAAGACCCTTGGTGACGTCAACTACTACCTTGGGCTTCACATTGAGCGAGATGTGGAGAAGCGGTGGATGCGAGTGCATCAAAAGAAGTACTTGGAGGCCTTGGCTGCAAACTTTGGGAAGAGTGAAGGTCATGTGGCTACTCCTCTTCCCTCAGGGTTCAAGTGTGTGAAAGGACCAGCGAAGGAAAGTGTTGGTGAAGAGGAGAGGCGCCGTTTTCACTCCTTGGTGGGCAGCCTCATGTATGCAGCCGTTCACACAAGGCCGGATGCAGCCTTTGCTACCGGGCAGCTGGCTAGGGTTGTCCAATGCCCTAATGAGGAGCAGGTAGCAGCTGGAGAGAGGGTGGCCAAGTACCTTGGCCAAACAGCAACTGTTGGACTGCAATACTCCGCGGCGGCACAAAGGCGTCAAAAGGGTGCGGATGGAGTCGAACCCGGGAGGCTCTTTCTCACCGCCTTCTCTGATGCATCTTGGGCATCAGAACCAGAGGACATGACAAGTGTGGGAGGCTTCATCTGCTGTGTTGGTGGAGGCCCAACAGCTTGGGAGAGCAAGAAACAAGTGGACCAAGCATTGAGCTCGGTGGAGTCCGAGTACATGGCACTCTTCCGTGCCATAAGAGAGGTTGTGTGGCAGCGGCGTTTGCTAGCTGAATTGGGGGAGGAGCAGCAAGGACCTACCCCACTCTACTATGATAGCCAAGGTGCTATTGCATTGGCAAAGAACCCCGTTCTTTATGGTCTTACCAAGCACATGAAGGTGAAGTGGCATTGGGTGAGGAGCATGGTAACCGCGGGTGAAGTGGAGTTGCACTACGTGAAGACGACGGCACAGCCAGCTGATATGATGACCAAGAGGCTGGTTGAGCAGCAGCATTGGAAGTGTTGCAAGCTTGCTGGGATGGCTCTGAACTAAGGGGAGCAGATTCTAAGGCCAACAATCCGAGGGGGAGTTTGTTGGTGCAACCCTATGGCTTGCACTCGGCTTGTCGTCCTTGTTTGTGTGTGTGCATGCATGGCATGGAATGAATTGTGAGTCTATGTCATTGCTATCCAGTGCTTGTGTGTGTGTTTGAATGGTGTATCACAATGTGGTTTGTGTCGGTCAAGACATTAGCGAGTTTTTACAACTCGCATGTCAAGTCGTCGTTTGTGTGTCGCATGTGTTTTTTCTATTTTGTCGAGTGTGGAGTGTCCATCGTGTCGCAGGTGTGTGCAGCAAGCCCCCATCAACTCAAGAAGAATTTATCTTGCAGAACCAAGACCAAGAGCTCAAGCTTTCAAGCCCAAGGGACACGGATAAATATTAAATAGTGAAAATAGTAACGCTACTTCGTGTAGTGTTACATTTCACTTGGTGTAGCCCCTTGGAGGGTTGGTTTCGAGACTCTTCATGGTTGGGGACTCTGTGGTGGTGTACCACCAACCTGGACCTCGGCTCTTGGGGTATGTAGAGGCTGGGAACCATCTCCCTCTCGAACTCTTCTTGCTAAGTTTGTACTTCCAAGACTATAGTGGCTGCTATACCTCCTGCCAGTCAAACCGCCATAGCGTCGTCAAATCTTCATAGAATTTCATGATTTAACTTGCTGCTGATAGACGACAGCAACGCGCTCCAGATCAAACTTACAGATCACAGTTTGACTCAGCGACCAGATCGTTATCAATATTTGAAGCCGTCTGACAGAAATCCGACTGTGCTCTCTATCTCTCATTATAGGCACATCTGAGCCTTTTGTGACTATAACAGGTGCCAGAGGCACCAACGTGAGCGAGGCAGCCCCAGACGTGGAACGCGGACGCGTCACCAGGGAACCCGGTCCAAAGAAGGGTCGGCAAAACCTGCGGCCACTGGGAGTGTGGCCACAGGTTAAGCTGGTGAGCGGCGTAGCGAAGGGCGAACGGCCACACAAAATGGGGTGCACCGGCATGAATCATGGAGGTATGAGCCACCTCCATCACCAAGCTGATGCATCACAAAATGACCCCATTCTGCTGCGGGGAGTCTGGTAGGGTGAACGACTGGGTGATGCCCTCTATAGGACAGAACTGTCCAAGCCGACCAATGGCGGACTCACCGCCACGGTCAGAGTGGAGACACAACACAGGGAGACCGTGGTGGAGGCACGCGGCTACGACCCATGGAATAAGAACATCAAGCACGTCGGCCTTCGGCTCCAAGGGAAACACCGTGGTGTAGCGTGTGTAGTCGTCAACGAGCACAAGAAAGTAGCGCTCGGGACGCGGCCCAGGGACTGGGGCTGGGCCCCAGACGTCCACGTGCAGGGTCTGGAGTGGCGCGGTTGCAGGGCGAAGCGAGGAGGAGTGAGGAGCATGACGCAGCCGGCCCTCGATGCAGGGCGTGCACAATGGCACAGGCGAAGGAGGGAGGGCAGGGAGCGACGCAGGGAGATGTAGGACGAGACAGTGCTGAGACATATGACGCAGACGCGGGAGTGTGGGGTGACCTAGGCGGTGGTGCCATAGAAGCGACGGGTGAGTGAGCGACCAACACGAGCAAGCCGCAGTGACCTGGGTAGATGCAGGACCCAGGGAGGACGTGCCCACTGGGGGGGAAGCAGTGTCCAGCGTAAACAAGCCAGACACCGGGTCCCGGGGGAACGTTGCAAGGAGGGCACCTGAGGCGGCCTCGGTATAGACAGCATACCTCTCGTGACCAGGGAGCTTAGTGGTGACGCCGAGGTCCTGAAGACAGCCGACACCATGGAAAAGGAAGTGATGTGCAGGCCTGTAAGTGAGCCCGAGGGAACTGCTGGACAGGGAAGGGTAGTGTAGCTACGGGCAACGACAGGACCAGAGGAGGGGACAGCAAGTGCGATGGCGTCAGGCGTAGCAAGTGGCGTGAGTGTGGCGTGGTCGCGGAAGAAGCAGGCAGACGCACCGAAGGCAAATGTGAAGGACACCGAAGTAGAAGCAGCAGCCGAAGGAGGAGCAAATGTGGAGCCTAGGCTAGACAAGGCAAATGGTCCTACACTTGACGCAGCAGGGGAGTCTGTACTGCACACAAGTACTACGCCTAAACTAGAGAACACAGGGAAATAAGATCCGGACACACTAGAAGCATCAGCATACAGAGAATGAAGGGCATAACTAATCTGATCCATGTCTAACTCAAAGATAGGCATACCGTGGCGCAGCAGACTAGGCCAGTCAGGGAGGTCCGAGGCCGGGCCGAAGCGGCGATGAAAGAGGTCGTCGAGGCGGTGGAAGCAGCGGGCGGTCGGGTGCGGGCGGCGGCAAACAGTGCCGCCAAGGGGGCCGGTCTGGAGGTGGTACTGGAAGCTCACAGCACCCAAGCTGCCGGTAGACGCTGAGCTGCAAGGACCGCCACTGCAGCCACCACATCCAGGGGCTCCTGGCCACCCCGGCGGGAGGCAGGCCCACGTCTGCTGCTGCTGCTGTGGCTGCTGCTGCTGCAATGGCTACTGCTGCGCCGGCTGCGGCTGCTGCTGCTACTGAACACTAGCCCCAACCCCCTCGTCAGAACCACTGTCCCCGCCACCACCACCACCACCACCACCACGCCCTCCCTTGGAGCCACGACGGCCCCGACGCGGGCGCAGCTGCGGGGACACCGCAGCTGCGGTCTCGGCGGCAGGGGCAAGTGTCATCGTACATGCGCTGGGAGGGAGCACAGCCCTAAAAGATAGGGACTGCCGCAACACCGCTCAACTGGGCGATAGTGCGATGGCAAGTCTCGATCTCAGATAGGGCGGTGACAAAGGCGGTCAGGGTGAGGTCACCGGGGTGCTGGCTAAGGAAGTGGTCGTGGGCAGTGGCTAAGCGGTCCGGAAGGCACATGGCTATAAGGTACAGGGTAGCGCAGAGAAGTGGGGGGAAGGCAGTGAGCAGGGCATCAGTGCTAGCAGCAAGGTAGCTAGTCTCTAGTGCACGAAGGTGAGTGGCTAAGTCAGCGACAGTGGGGAAAGCGGCAAGATCTGGGAATAGCATGGGGAGGATCAGGTGGCTAGCAGAGGCGGAGGCGGGTGTGGAGTAGCGCTCAACTACTACATCTAGGAAATCCTTGGCGTTCGCGATAGCAGTGAAGCTCGGATGCTCAGACAAGGGAAGAGCATGACTAATGGCTAGCTGCGCGACGGCATCGCGGAAATCCCAGACAGCGCGAGCAAGCACAGCAGCAAAAAAAGCACACACTCAGCAGTGGTGGGGTCAGCAGGGAGGGGATCAGGCGCAGAGGGGCGGGGAAGCAAGCCATCAATATGCATAGCCAGGGAGTGCCCACCCTTGCGTTGACCTGTCAGGTGACGGCGGAGATCGACAAGCCAGGCGGCGAAAAAGATCGTGTGCCTCTCCGCGTCCAGGCGGAGTACGGCATACGCCATCGTGCAACCTCTGCGTCACAGCTCCACGGCGGCACAGTGGCACGACGACACAGCGGCACAGCGGTACAGCTACTCAGTGGCACGACGGCACAGTGACGTCGCGGCAGAACTCTCCGGCGGGAAGACCGAGCGGAAGGCCGAGCGGGGCGCACAGGGGCCGATACGCGTAGTAGGCCGGCGAGGCGCGAAGGGCCGGTGGGGCACAAATGGGGCTGCGGGGCGCCAAGGGCCAGCAGAGCGCTAGGGCCAGGCGGGGCGCTAGGGCCAGCGGGCGCTCGAGGGGCTGGCGGGGCGCATAGGGCCGGCAGGGCGCTAAAGGGACCGGCGGGGTCGGCGGAGCGCTAAGGGCCGGCGGGCACGTGAGGGGGCCGACGGAGCACGCGAGGGCCGGCGAGGCGTTAATGGCCGGAAGAGCACTGAGACCCGCGAGGGGCCGGCGGGGTAGGCGAGGGGCCGGCGGGGTATGCAAGGGACCGGCGGGGCGCTAAGGGCCAGCAAGCACGCGAGGGGCCGGTGGGGTACGCAAGGGGCCGACATGGCGCTAAAAGCCAGCGGGGCGCTAAGGGCCGGCAAGGCGCGTGAGGGGCCGGCGGGGTACGCGAGGGGCCGGCGGGGCGCTAAGGGCCGGCAGGGCGTCAAGGGCCGGCGGGGTACACGAGGGGCCGGCGGGGCTCTAAGGGCCGGCGAGGCGCTAAGGGCCGGCAAGGCGCGTAGGGGACCAGGGGGAGCGAGAGGGGTCGTCGGGGCGCTAAGGGCTGGCGGGGCGCGCTAAGGACAACGTCGGGGCCGGCTAGGGCTAGGGATGGAAGCGGGTGGGCGGACCTAACCTACTATGATACCATGTTAGAATAGCAGAATTACTAGAACAAGTGAGAACAGGGGAGATATGGGGTTGGAGTTGTACCCTCTATGAACACAAGCCTATCTAGCCTATAACTTCTACATATATCCATATGTATAAGTTGACAGCAAATTGACTAGAATGAGAGGTGCACGGTGGTTTTGTGCTAAGGGGCTGTACTCTCTAAGAGTACGCACCTATCTAACCTATAGTAACATGTACACATATGTTTGACACACCCCCTAGGCTAGATGAGGGGCAGTGCCAGGCAAGGGACATGCAGTTCAGGGTGGCACTACTAGTCCAACCTCTGAGGCAAGAGTCCGAAGACCAGTTAGCATGAGTACAAACGAAACAAGAGTAACCCAGGGCGGCACTACTAGTCCAGCCACTGGAACAAGAGCCACAAGGCCACTCAAGATAATATATGAGAAAGTATACATCAAGGCCCTAGCAATTGAGAAGCTACAGGAACTAGACCAAGCTGTACACAGTGCCGCTGATGATCTCTAGGCACAAGCGCCTGTCGTAGGCCGTAGACCGGGTGCCAGAGGAGCCACTGGATCCCCGGAGGGAAGGTACCGGTGAAGCCCTAAGGATGGCGTAGGTAGACCTGCTTGTGTAGGTTGCCTTGAAAAAAAGCAGTGGAGAAGTCGAGGGAGTGGAGCTCGTAGTCACGCTGTGCTGCTACGTGAAGCAATGCCCGAAAAGTAGTCATCTTCGGGGTCGGGGCAAAGGTC